CAACGTGGGCTGTTTTGGTACGAATTGTGTGAGGCGGCATAGATACAAGCAAGAGCTACAAGCAAGGGCGTGGTGATTGCAGAATGACTTGCTTGACATTTGGCTTCTTTTGCGTGTCTGTCGCACATTGGTATGAATGGTGTCGAGGCCGCGGCTCTGTGCTACGAATCTTCAAGGCGCCGTATACAAACATCAAGTGTGCTCGACCACGTGTCCCACACGCGCCAAATTTCGGTCTGTGGCGCGCAGTCGACGGGCCTTGTTAGCGACAGCGTGCGCTAAGTCGAAATATCCGATACTAGTATGTCCGATGCCTCGATGGTCTTAACGGGCTCGATGTTGGAGCTTATCCTGGAGGGTGCAGCACGAGGCGAGATCTCGAAGTGTCCAGTCATCATCACGAATCAAATTCCGGAAGTATCTTTCAGATTCCCGCCATCCAGAATAGTCCCGAATATTCCAGCGGCAGAAAAATGGAGGTTGTCTTGTTGTCCATTGCTAGAATCAAGTAACCGATGCATAGTAATTTTCCAACACACGTATGGATACCAGTTGTTCTTCCATCCCTAAGATCGAACGTCTGAGTATCTCCTTTGGCTGGTGCCTCTACTTCTGCAAAGTTACACTCTCACTCAGTGGTTAGGGGATGCTGCAAAACGCAGTTGTTTGCCTCGTAAGACTTCCGCAGCCGTCCATTTGAGGCCGTCGAAACCCCCGAAACCTTCGTCTCTGGCAATCAGTAGACGCACTATTTCCAAAACAGTGTTTAGACTGAAAATTTCGATAGACTCATTTCAACAACAAAAGTGTTTAGACTGACGCGCGAGCCCTCACTGCCTTGTCTTGCTCGCAGTTTCCAGCAAACAAGCACAGTCCTGCAATAGTCGTTGTTTCTTTATCTCTACATTTCTGATTTCTCAAAAAACGACATTCCAATAAACCATGGCCCTTTGGTTTCTGCGATCCAGTACGTCTCCCACTGCCTTGATAGTCGACGTACTAGTACCGTTAGTACATGATGACATTGACGCCAGCATTCACTTGCCCTTTGGTGATTGCATTTCGCAACGCCAATGTACTTCGGAGTAGTGCAAACCGTTTCGGTTCCAGGCCACGGGCAGTTATTTTCCACATTGGGAAGCGCTAGGCTCCAGTGGCCCATAATATATATATTTTAAACTTGCCTCGGCGAAGAAGCTCGCCAAAGCTACTGGCTGACTTCGGTGTGAATCCTTGGCCAGCGGCCACAGGCGTAAAATCTCAACGCCTCCTTCTTCCATCGGTCGAGAGCTTGTCCAGGCAGAAAAACCCGCGGCTGGGTCTTCAAGTGGCCAAGGAGCTGACCCATCGTAAGAGGCGCAAGTGAGTTGGTCGAAACGAAAATTTTGCGGTGAGCAACGACACCGCGACGACGACGTCTTCGAACGACGAGTATGCGTCGGCGAGTAATCTCGCCATTGTTCTGGTCACCGATGCATGAGTCCTTGACCACATTTCCGTCCAGGACAGTCCTGTTTCCGGTGCAGTATGCAGCACAATATTTTGAACAGAAACTCCGAAAAAGGAGGTGTTCAGTAGCCCACTGACAATTGTTTGCGAATGCTGTTTGTTGAAGATAAACATCGTGTCAGTAGTGCACTGCCGATCTTTCGTGAGTGTCGCTCGTTGAAGTGCAACAGGTGTTTCTAACCAGGTGGATTAAAACGAGCCAAACGCAGGGTTTAACGCGTACTAGTACAGTATTGTGGGGACCTCCCACAGCAATATGACGCGTGTCGCGTCTCCCACGTGATCAAACCGGATAGGCAAGGCGTCCAATGCTAGCGATATCACGTGTACTCTTTTCCGTTGTGGAGCGCGGAAACAAAGCTGGTTCAGCCGGATGCTTCGTCGCGGTCGACGGGTTGGGTCGTGCTGGCGTTATCCAGCAAAGCGCAGTGCAACCGTAAAAGAGGGAGAGTTACAATCGAAAAATATAAAAAGAAACAACGCGTCGCACATGGCCCAAGACCATATCCAAATCACTTTTTGGCGGAAACTAATGCTATTGCAGCTTGTATTCATCCTTTGCATCGCACCGCGTGCAATGGAGCGCGAACACAACTCCCATTTAACTCACATGCGCGATCTGCTTCCGTGGTATTTGAAAGATGGCACAAGTGTCCGCACGAGTGGTGTCGCCATCACGTTGCTTGCAGCAACTAGTGTACGAGCTGTACACTGCATGCCAAAGAAGAGGCGTTTTTCTGCATCAACGCAAAGGGACACGGTTACCCAAACCTAGTGGCTATCTCATGTGTACTCTGTACGACTCCCGTCTCCCAACATCAGCCCATGCCTCACTCTTCAAATCCAATCGCACCCACCGTCAGCCGGCTCGTACACGAACTCGGCTCGTCCTCGCGACGAATTGAATGCCCAAGATCTTACAAAACCTACCACGACGGGGTCGTCTCGCCCACAACGACTTGGCAATTACCATCAAAACCTCGCCAAAGAGCGTCATTTCGGTCGTTATCGGAGCAAATCAATCGTTGGTCGTTTTTCAGCTGCATCGATTCATGTTTGGCTCATGGCCTATACGTCCGTGACTCACGGGACAGCGGCCAAAGCATTCTCCGCACAAGGACCTGGTCCGGCGACGCAACCTCTACCTCTGCCTGTCGAGTGACGACATACTGTAGGCACATGACATATCGCCTTGCGTTCGTTTCGACTGCGTAGATATGCCCATTTCCGATTTCGACTCGAACCTGGAGCATGGGCAAAAAAGGCATCTACCTCTACTACGAGACAGCTCCGACCGCACCGTCGCCAGAGCCGATCGGCCACCACCTCTTGCACGCGACACCCGAGTCCATCTCGTCGGCCAGTTCGAGTCGAAGCGGCGACCGCCGGCCGCCGCCCCCCGCCGCGCCACTCGGTGTGCGCACGGATTTTTCATCGCGCGGGCAGCCCTCGTTGCTCGTCTACGACGACCCGGTCCTCGAAGACACCAACGACGTCAAGCACCTCGCGACCGGCAACTTTGATGCGCGCTCGAGCTCTGTCTTTGTCAACTCGATCGCGGTAGTCGTCGGCACGGGTGTCGGCGTCGGACTTGGCTTCCTCCTCGCGACGCTTGACATCGGGCGCGAAGCTCGGCAGTGGATGGCACTGCCCGGGGACCTCTTTGTCCGCGCGCTTCGGTGTCTCATTGTGCCACTGGTCTTTTGCTCGATGACGGTCTCGATCGCAGAAGTCGTTTTGCTCAATCGCACGTCGGTCTTGACGCTTCGGACCGCGCTCGTCTTCTTTCTCACGTCGTCGCTCGCGGTTGTCCAGGGCATGGTTGTGGCACTGGTGTTTCGAGCCATGTACATTGCACCCGACATCACTGCGTCGACGGCGGCGTCGAGCAGCGCCGCAATCATTGGGCTTAAGTGCGCGAACGGGCTCTTCCTCGGAGCCGCCGAGAACGGGTCGATTGCGTGCATTCAGCCCAATGTGACGCTCGCATCCTTGTACGAGATCAACGACATCAACAACGTGCTTAACCTCCAAGGCAAGTTTCAGCAACTGTCGCTCACGGACCAAGTGATTGCGATCATTTACAATATGGTGTCAGACAACATTTTCCATTCGCTCGCCAACGGGTCGCTCTTGAGCATCATCGTGTTTGCTCTGCCCCTCGGCTTTGCAGTCGCCAAGTCGCACAGTGGCGATGCCAGTTCGAATGGTCTCCTCAACCTTCTCCGGCAGAGCCGGAACGCACTTCTCTCGCTCATCAACAATGTGCTCGCTCTGACCCCGATCGCGGTCTGCTTCCTCGTGAGCTCGTCCGTTTTGACGTACAACGCGAACGCATCGAATTTTGTGTCCCAAGCCGGCTACCTCGTGCTTGCCTTTGTGAGCGGTGTCGTGTGCCACGTCTTCTTGGCTCTACCGCTTCTCCTCTTCCTCTTTACGCGCATCAACCCGTACAACTACCTCCGGCAACTCTTTCCGGCCTATGTGTTTGCGTTTGGGTGCTCGTCGTCCATGGCGGCGCTCCCCGTGGCAATGACAGTCGTGCACCAGACGCGCCAAGTCTCGCGCGGCTTTGGCCGACTCGTTCTGTGCCTCGGGACGCCCGTCAACACGAACGCGTCGGGCTTGTACTACCCACTCATGACGACGTTCCTTGCGATTTCGTCGGGCAGCTCGCTTGAGACGCCGCAGCTCGTCGTGCTCTTCTTCGTCTCGCTCCTGGGGTGCATGGGCACTGCACCCGTGCCCAACGCGTCGCTGGTGATGCTCGTGACGGTATGGAAGACGGTGTTTCCCAACGCAACGCTGCCGACGGCGTTCGTGTCCATTGTGGCCATCGACGTCCTCTTGGATCGTATTTGCACCATGGTCAACCTCAACGGCAACATGGTGGCGACGCGGATTCTGGCTGCACACTTGGACGACGCAACCAGCTGGTCTTCGGGCGACGAGCACCGGACCGAGGCCGTCGCCGACGAAGGAATGTGATCGGTACGACAGTATGCATGTCTTGGCGCGGGTCATATCAACATTTGGAACGGAAACAAGCTGGCTTCAGTATTGCGGAATTCGTACATGCATTGGAGGATCGTCGCGTGTCAAAATGCAAAGTGTCTACTTGTACACAATTGTACGTGTTTGGGAGGGAGTCTGGCCCAAAACGCAACGAAGCGACATCGAAAGCGGTGGTTTTTAAATTAGTAGTTTATCGAAGGCGGTTGTGATGTAAAGGGCGCCGCCGTGTCGAATGCAGGAGCGACCAGACACAACACACCAAATTAAAAATGTAGTTTTGTACCGCACGATATAGGAGTGTCCCGATGGTCTCGATCCTAGTGGCATCGTCGCTGACGGTTTGGCCCTTCCTCACCTCACCCCTTCACTGAAGACGGTGCAAAGCTCTGGCTGGAGAAGACATTTTAGGCCAAAAATCGACTTGGTTGTTGTGCATCTGCTTGCAAGTGTCCGCTTCCTATGCCAAAGGTAGTCTACACTACTGATACTACGGCTCCCTCCTGGTGCACGTCCATCACTAATGGTACCCGAAATGGTTTCTCTTTGGAATTATCTCTGCAACGACAGGATGCCACGTCATGTAAGCGTTTCCGGTGCGTTGGGATTCCGTTCGCTGGAAATCGGAGCTGTGGACATGGGTTCCCGACTCGCCTTGTGGCAGCCTTGGTCATGAGAATGACGAAGTTCGGTGAATGTACTATTGTCTGTAGAGACAAGATTCCATCAAGTAGCGCGAGACAGACAAGAGTATATAATCGTTAAATAACAAGACGGGACACGATCAATTGCGCCTAGGCTTCGACGTAGCGGAGTTTCGAGAGCGACTTCTTTGGCGGCACAACGTCTTTTAAACAGTAGGCGCCTGGATTAGCTTGGGCTCGTCGCAAGTCGGCAACAAGCGCGGCGTGGTCGCAATATGTGGCCAGCTCGATCGCGTCGTCGGTCGCCCAATTCGGCCGGCAGCGCAGCCAGCGCTTGAGCGTAGGGGCGTCGCCTTGCAGAATCGCGAGGTGAAATGCAAATTTGACTTGCGTCCGGGTCGTCGGCTCAATGTGGCCAAAGAACGCGTACATCGACTGCTGCGCCATGTAGTCGGAGAGCAGCTGCGGGCGCGGCGCCGCAAAAGTCTTTTTGTGCAGCATCTCGAGCCACGCCGAAGAGGCGGTGGCGACGTGGGCTTGAAGGTCATTATAGAGGCCGGCTTGGTACTCGGTTATCAAGGGAAACAGGTCCTTGTTGCGCAGGACAACGTGGGCTGTTTTGGTACGAATTGTGTGATGCGGCATAGATACAAGCAAGAGCTACAAGCAAGGGCGTGGTGATTGCAGAATGACTTGCTTGGCATTTGGCTTCTTTTGCGTGTCTGTCGCACATTGGTATGAATGGTGTCGAGGCCGCGGCTCTGTGTTACGAATCTTCAAGGCGCCGTATACAAACATCAAGTGTGATCGACCACGTGTCCCACACGCGCCAAATTTCAGTCTGTTGCGCGCAGTCGACGGGCGTTGTTAGCGACAGCGTGCGCTAAGTCGAAATATCCGATACTAGTATGTCCCATGCCTCGATGGTCTTAACGGGCTCGCTCCTGGAGGCTCCAACCCTCACCTATCATTTGCCGCGGGCGTGTAGACCACAGCGCCACATCAAATTCTGATATCGTCTACTAGTACTAGTACACGACATTCAACAGCACCCGTTTGTTCGAATTCGATTTAGAATTTCATCCAACCGGACGGCGGTAGCCCAGTAGCTCATGGTAGCCACTACAAAGTCCTTAAGGTCGTGTGAAAACCACTTGGCTCGGACTCTTGGTGACGTCCAAGTCACGCTGCACTCACAGATATGGTGGCGCATTTCGTCGTAACGTCAACGACACTCGGCACTCGCTCGGCTCTATGCAATGTAATTCGCTCCATGTGAGCTCCACGACGACTCTCTTGTGCTGCAAAGGCGTTGATGCAACGCGTGACGACGACGTGGTCGTGCGACGGCACTGCAACTGCAAGGACAGATCCCGAACGATGCATGCATGCAATGGCGCATGTCCCTTCGGACATACTTGAATCTCCATTTTGCGGGGCCAATCGATTCCTTTTCGCTCGAGAAGAGGAATGGCAACGCAGCGTGCTACCTCTGCAGTCGACTTCAACGCGACTTGAAAGCCACCCGAACGCGGCTCGACATGATCAGCGCCTTCGACTCGACTTGAAGTTGGTGTCGTGTGACATGGGTTCTCGGATGGCATACGCGTCGGTGTGTTGTGGGAGCGGACGCGCGAGAACGCGCGCG